TCCAAAGGTGATTTAAAACAGTAGTTTTATTTTTTATTTTTTTAAAGATTTTATTTATTTGACAGAGAGAGCACAAGCAGAGGGAGAGAGAGGGAGAAGCAGGTTCCCCGCCGAGCAAGGAGCCCGATGTGGGACTCGATCCCAGGACCCTGGGATCATGACCTGGGCTGAAGGCAGCCGCTTAACTGACTGAGCCACCCAGGTGTCCCTAAAACAGTAGTTTTAGACATGTGCCAACAAGTCATGTGATTAGTAGCTCAAGGGAGCTGGTGGGCAAGGGAATGCTTGGGAGGCCATTCATCACTCATCTGTGCAAAAGCACACTTTATTTATTCTATTGTTAACTAAGTCTTTTGATTGACCTCATAAAAAGAGCTCCTACAAAAATCAATGAGTAAAAGACCAGTCACCCATTGGGAAAAGAACATAACAATACAGTTCACAGGGGGGAAAAAAAGTAGAAGTAAGATTTAAATGTGAGAAAGGGCCTGTCCTCTTGCAAGAGAAAAATGCAAGTTAAAAGTATCCCCAAATTCCATATTTCCTGTCAGAGTGGCACATATTGAAAAGCTTACTTAGATGGTGGGCTTCAGAGGTGTCAAGAAATAAGGCCCCATTGCATTGTTGGTGCAGAAGGAACCTGGCTCAGGCTCTCTGGAAGGCAGTCAGACAGCAGTGTTAGCTAGTGCAGCAAACACTGCCCATATCCTGTGACCCAGCGTTTGCCCTTCTAGGACTCGGGCTGCATTCCATTTGTTCCTCAGTCTTTTCTGCTCTCCCAATCTCTTAGGCTCTGTGCCTCAAGTGAAGTCAGTAAATGGGTAATAATTCCTTTAAACTTTGGAATTAATTTCTTTTTGACTATAGGAATTGGCAGTTCAAAAAAAACCCTAGGTGCCTTAATAATTAAAGAGAAACCTTAAAAGCTCCTTCTACGAGGGTTCAGAGCTATAAATGTAATAAATGAAACTTCCCCAATACGGCACTGTGGGTCGGGTTAATAATCCTATTCAACAGGAGCAGGCAGCGCCAATTATCAGCATGCGTGCTACCATAGCGCCCCCTGCTGACCCAATGCAAAAACAAATTTCTGTGGTAGGTTTTCGTCAACTCTTCCCCGCTCCCCACCCCCCCCCGCATTTCCTGCCAGTTGGGCAGGTCTTCAAAACATTAAAGAGTTACCTGATTATTACCTCTTCTCTGCTCGTGCTCTCAACTCTTACTTGTATCAGATAAGCTTGCCGCCTACTTATCAGTGAAGATCAAAGACCCTTGATACTTCACCTCCTAAAGAGATTGGCTGCTTTCACTTGCTGTATCCTGGATGCTTGTCCCTTCTTTTCTCCTTTCTTCAGCAATTCTAGTTCTGCCTGTTTTCCTCTTCCAGTCTATCTGTTGGCTTCTTCACTGGCCACTTAACTGTGTGCCCACATTGCACCTGAGCCCGGCACCCACAAACAACCTGCCATTCCCTTAAGGACTGCACTGGCTAGCTCCCCACTCATTCTTTCATCTAAGGTTTCTTTAAAATGAGGTCTGTGGACCATCTTCACATTATTCACCTGGCTGCTTGCCTAAAATGTGGATTCCTGGGCCCCCCCCTGAATCAGACTTCCTGGAATCTACTTTTATAACAAGTACCCTAGAGAATTAGAATTCTTATGTGTACCCACACGCGCGCGCAGGCGCGCACACACACACACACACACACACACACACACACACACATATAAAAACCTCCCTGATTGTTTTGCTCTGATCCAAGAGACTTGCCATACCCCTTAACCTTCAAAGTCCATCTCAAATACCACTTCTAGCGTAAAGCCTTTCCTCATTCCTCGAGGGGCTAGAAATAACACTTCCTTTCAACTCTCCGTAATGGCAACCATCGTAACCTGTTGATTTTCATTTTTTTTTTCTACTTTTCTTATCTCCCCCTAAAAGATCATAAACTACTTGAGATGAAAGACTATTTTAGTCATCAATGTATTCACTGAAGGTTTGCAAGCAGTAGCTATCCACACAAGTATTGTTGAATTAAATTAGCACTCCCAATTAGAGAATGGCTGTTTAATATATTTATGATGTTTTTAAAGGTAGACTTAAAAAAACACACCACAGTCATTGAGGAAGCAAAATTAAGATGCAAGTCGAATTATTTCTAATAGCAAAGGTTCCTGCTGAATGAAATACAGCTCAGATTTTAGTGAACCTCTGTGTGTGTGTGTGTATGTGTATCTTGTAGTCATCTGGAAAATCTTGACCTTCATCCCTTTCTATCCCTTGCTAAGCCCAACAGGTCTTGAAGCAAAAGTCCCAAGGAAAAACAATGGATCACAAAGTTATTTTTTCTCCTGTAGAATTCCATATACAATTTTTACAATTTTTTTTTACAATTATGGCTCAAATTAGCTAATGTATATTTTTATATTAAGGAAAATGTACTTGCCTGCCTATGATTAAAATTCAACAAAATGGAATTCCAATGTCAAAACAAATACACTTACCAAACCCCAATAACAAAGTGCTGTCGCTGCAAATCCTCACAGCAAATGGGGTCCTTATTCTTGATGACGAGCACCTGCCTCTGTCCCCACCCCTCTCCAGCTCCTGCTAACCTAACACCCTCTGAAACATTTTAGCAGTAATTGCAAAGCTTCTTTAGGTTTTTCTGAATCTAATTTTAAAAGGATAGGAGACATTATTTTTTAACTGCTTATCAATCTCCTGTTATGTGATGTTTTAATACAAGCTGAAGGTAAAAATACTTTGTATTTATTAGGGACACAAAGTTGCTTGCCAGAGCACCTCAAATGGGCTGTCTGTGTTGGGAAAACATGTCATCCATTCAGCTTCTTCATTATCTCAGAAGTGGAAACATTTCTTCCACCAAAACCTCAAAGTCAGCAAAAATACATAGGGATTCCTGACCTTTTGTCAGCCATTTGCTATCTTTAATATTAGCATTTTCCAAACCACATTCTGTGGAATGGACGGGTCTCCACATATATGGATAGAGATTTAACAAAAAAGCAAGAACTTATGTGGGGAGGGGGGGAAATCAGTGATCAGCTAAGTTTGAAAAAAAAAATGCAAGTTGGGCCTCATCCCCTCTAGGGGGTCATAGTTCATAAAGGATATTAAATAGTTCACATGGTCCTGCAGTGAAGTGGGAACGTGTAAACATGTTTTTCTAATTTATTCAAACATGGAATTAGCCTTTAAAAATTTGGGGGGGGGAGGGAACATCTCTTAAGTTAAATCTTGTGGGACACTGATATTCAGCAGGACTTGAAGTGAGAAACAGTTTCATGCAGATATGCTCAAATAATCCATCTAAACTAAATGCCAAGCAAAAAGTGATTGGAGTTGAAAATTCAGAATCACACAAGTACATCCAGGACAGAGTGGCTTCTCAACGCTACCCACAAAAGTAGGCTTAACGCTTCTGAATTAAGTGCACTCAAAAGAAAAAGTGGCCTAGTTCTGGCTTCCATGCACTTAGTTGAACTTGAGGGACTTCTTCCGACTGGGTTCATAGACAGATGCTGTTGGTCAAGGTCAGCCTCTTCTTTTTCTCTCCCTCACATTTATAAGAACTTTCATAATTGACATTTATTAAAGCACCCGATCCCATTCTCCACACTGTTCACTGAGTACGTTCCATGTCACGCTCTTTGCCTATGCTCACATAATTTATCACTCCCTACATAGGCCTACGTATTTGCATTATTTGGGGGTATACACCAGAAATGTTTTCTGGACCAGAAAGTGATTACTGCTCCCACATTAAAACGATTTTCAAATGCATCTACCAAAGTCATACTATTATTTCTAGGACTTGTCACTTTGATTACATCTCAGGTCACTCTGGATTCATGGAAGACACTTTCGAGACAGCGCTGTAGTTGGTCATTTGACGACATCATGGTTACCTGCTATTTTCTGTTTGCAGGTAGTGTTAAGGTACCTGTTAGGACTTTTTCCTTAACCTTTATGAAAGCAGTATCCACTGTATAATTTGGATTCTCTTAGCTCTTGGGGCGATTTGGGTCTATGTGGCTAGATTTGATTCTAGTTGTTTCTCCTCAATATAAATTTAACACCAAATGTTTGTGGTGTCCAGCAAGATTCACATGGAGATGCTCAGACAAGAGGGAAGACTGCACTGCCCAAAAGAAGAGATATTTGCGCCTTAAGAGGACATCACCAAGGTGGCTAGAGAGGAGACTCCCAATTTTTCCTCCTCCCATCATGCACCAAATATACAGCTACACAACGATCAATTCCTTCCGGAAGAGATCCAGAGACTATTTAATTGAGTGGCCCCTACACACTTGGTGACTGAGAAAATCCCTACATTGAAATGAGTACGAAAGGCTGAGACACACTCTTGCCACAAACCCCTGGCATTCTCCTTACCATCAGACCTGTTGGAATGGTTATTCTCAAAAAGACAAAACAAAAGCTGGTATGTGCAGAAAAGAGAACCCTTGTACAGTGCTGGTTGGAGTGTAAACTCACACAGACACTATGGAAAACAGTAAGGAGGTTCTTCAAGAAATTAAAAATAGAACTACCGTATGATCCAGCAATCCTGCTTCTGGGTATATATCCTATGGAAAAGAAATCACGGTCTCAAAGAGGTATCTATACTCCCATGTCCACTGCAGCTTTATTTATAATAGACAAGGTGTGGAAACATAAATGTCTGTCAACATATTAATGGATAAAGAAGTTGTGGCGTGTGTGTGTGTGTGTGTGTGTGTGTGTGTATGATGGAATATCATTCAGACTTTTTACAAAAGGAAATCCGGCCAGTTGTGACAGCATGGATGAAGCTGCAGGGCACTATGCTAAGTGAAATAAGCCAGACAGAAGACATATACTGCACGGTATCACTTATATGTGGAACCTTTAAAAGAAGAAAAAGTTACACTTACAGAAACAGAGAGTAGAATGATAATTGCCAAGGGCTGAGGGACCAGGAAAATGGGGAAGGGTAAAGGTTGGTAAAAGGGTACAAGCTTTCAGTTATAAGATGAATAAGCTTTAATGATCTAATGTATAGCATAGTGACTTAGTTAATAGTACTTATCGCGTAATTGAAATGTGCTGAGAGAATAGATCTTAAGCATTCTCACCAGAAAAAAAAAAAAAAAGTATGTGAGATGTTGGAGGTGTTAATTCACTTGATGGTGGAAATCCTTTTACCATGTACATGTGTATCAAGCCATTGTGTTCTACACTTTAAATATATTAACATTTATTTTATCAATTATACTGGAAAAATAAAAAAATTTGCTTGTTAACTTTTGTTTCCTGAAAATAACAACTGGTGTATGGCCTTCCTTGGGAAGGAAAATTCAAGCCAATACAGCAAGCTGAATAATCTGGTTCTTCACTTACATCCATGAAGTACCCTAGCAACCCCCTCCAGGAGGAAAATGGACTCAACATCCTGATCAAAAGACCGAAGATTAATTCTTGGCCAATACTGATTCCATTACACAAACACACAGGTCTAGTATAAAGAACACCAGCTGTAAACTGGGACTGTCCTTAGCAAATTGGGACACATGGTCATCCAAATTCTGTCCATAGATATTCTCTAGGGACCCTTCCAGTTGTAAAACAATGATCCCATGTTAGCAAACTAGTTTTAAATTTTTATCTCTAAAGGTTAGGGTTGACAGATAATTGACATTTCAAAATTATTAGGTTGATTTAAGACAGAAGTTTTAAATACTAAGAGCAAGGTTTAGAACACTATCTCCCTAAGATTCTATTTTTCAGTCTTTCATGAGTCTTCTAATTATTGTTCTTCTTTCCCAACACTTTCACGAATACACTATCCTGAGTGCTTTAGCTCTTCTCGATCATCAAAAAATATTTTTCGTGTTCTACTTTCACATTTGGTTTTTAAAAAGCAATCCTATTGCTCACCTCTCCCTTTAGCCCAGTCTGAGGGGAGGAGGAAAAGGGAAAGGTGGGAGGTGGAAAGTGGAGGAAGAGGGATGGGAATGAGAAATACAAGTCCAGGGCAGGCATCTTCCCTCAATTTCTTTGCAGAGTGGACTTGAGATGGACAAAACCAACGGCGGCCTCTGGGTATTTCCTGTACTGTGGTGTCTTCACACACGCTGTGATTCGTTGCTTAAAGACAGGTCTTTTCCATAAAATCTGGCCTCCAAACGCAAGCGAGGCACTCACTGCTTGTACCAATCCTCTCCTCTCTAACTCTGAGGAGTTGACACCCGAAGCCTCCGTTTTCCAGCTCGTTTGGTTGCTGGCTTCCAGTCAGGTCCTGCCAATGGGAGTGAATGACAGAAAGAAAAGAAAAAACAGAGTATTTCTTTGCCTTCTATGTCTCCAGCTGCATCACCTACAAGGCTCCTGTTCCTTGCTGTGATTCAGCTTCCTCTGGGTGACCCTGGCCTTGGGCTTTGCCCCACACTTCCTCCCTTTGCCCCATCAGCCTAAGGACAGCACTGGCATCCTGCTCTTGCTAATTTCTGAGTTGCCTCAGTCTTTTGCTCGTCCTCTCAGCTCTTTTAATACCTGAGCTATCAATTCTGTTTTAAGTTGTTTAAAATACTCAAGGGTAGTTTTGTTTTATTGGTTGAACCCTGACTGCTATTATAGTCAATAAAATAGTAAGCTGCCCCAGCTGTGGAGGAAGAATTCACTGGAAGGGCTTTATGGTGAGATGGAATATAGTATCTCCTACATGGATCCTTCCCCAGGGTAATGTGATTATTCAAAAATTTCACCTTTTATGTTGGCTTTAGACCTGACCATGCATAAGATGCAACTTATACTTAACGTGTAGAGCTGAACCATGTTGTTCTACAGGAAGATCTACTTTATCAAACACCTGAGATATATTTAGAGATTTAGGTATGAAAGAATGAGTAGAAGTGTTCTAATAAAAGAAGCCTCAGAAATCAAATACTTGTTTGTATAAGGATAGGTCCAAACATTTTATATATTTTTACTAAAACAGAAAAATACATGAGTATGCAGATGATCTTACACAAAAAATGCATTAAAAGAAATCACACGTATTTTACATTAGGCTATTCATAGTCTGTAATCTCTCCCAAATAATAGAGTATAAAAATAAGCAATGTTGCAAATGGCCTTCAAAACCAGGATAGTTTGGGCCCCAAATTATATCAGAATTAGTAACATGAGAGGTAATTAGAATTGATTTTATACTTATGTTTAAATTTCAAATACTCCAGGATCTTAAAATATTCATTTTATTAAATAGAGGGATAAAATTATCAAGTTTATAATAACAAATTTCAGGTAAAAATCTGCATTAAATTATCCACACCAAAAAAAATATATCTAAGAAAGTTTCCTTAATTTATCATAAACATTTCATCTTTCTAAAGTTCTCTTTCTGGCCTTCTGGGTCCAGTAAGTGAAGCTAACTTTTTACAGAAAATTACTCCTATACCAACTACTACTTTCCCCTGGGAATGTCTGCACATAGCTCCTGATTGCTCAATACAGACCTATCATATAAAATTAAAATGTTGCAACTTGATCGGAATGATGCACTCTTGCCTTATATAAAAATACAAATCACAGTATGCTGACACTCAATAACTTCAGCTTTAATTTACTAGCCTAAGGGGATTAAGAAGATACTATAAAATTTTAGTATAGGAAATATCATGGATGTAAAACAAACCTGCACAAGAATTTATCAGAATGACTATAAAGAAACGAAAACTAAATACACATACCTGGCCCCACAAGTATCTGAATATTAATACTAATCTGAATATTAAGACTCACTTTAGTGTATACTAGTTGAACTTTACCCTGCACTATCTTGATGGGTTTTTGCCATTATCACATACTTCATGTTATATTAATAAAAGGATTTAACATTTTCTTTTTTTAAAGATTTTATTTGAGAGACAGTAAGAGAGCACAAGCCGGGGGGCGGGGGGACAGGTAGAGGGAGAAGCAGACTCCCCACTGAGCAGGGAGCCTGATGCAGGACTTGATCCCAGGACCCGGAGATCCAATGTCCTGTCTGCATTCTTCCTAGCCTCTCAGCTCAGGTTTTCAAAAATAGGAATTTCAAATGCAGTTGCAGTATCCATTGTGTTGGGAAAGACCTCCCAACCCTTGCCCCTGGGGCTCATCCTGCAGACACCCAGCAGTCCCTAATTTAAGGAGACCATTCTGGATGGATGCAAATGCTTTATTCAAGTTCCACCTGTCTCCAAACCCCAATTAGTTACACAAGTTTATTATATGTGTCTTCATATTTATGGTATAGCAGATTAAAATGGTGGAGGAAAGGCAAAAGGATCCTAGTTGTGATTATTTTCTTTAACAAGATGGAAATAAAAGATGAGAAAATCTAATAGTATTTTAGCCAGGTACCATTAAGTGTCCCAGTTTTTAAGATTATAAATTCACAAAAGTGAATACACTAGTGACTACTTTTAAATAAAACACTGAATAATTATGTGCTATAAAAATCATAGACTCGGGCGCCTGGGTGGCTCAGTTGGTTAAGCGACTGCCTTCGGCTCAGGTCATGATCCCAGGGTCCTGGGATCGAGTCCCACATCGGGCTCCTGGCTCAGCAGGAAGCCTGCTTCTCCCTCTCCC